CCCTTCCCTGAGTTGCCGGTTAAACAGCGAGCAAAGAGGAGGCAAATCAGATCAGAGCCATAGCATCTTGCACCCATTTTGCACATGGGGTCATTGTGGGGAACAGGCCAGATTTCCAAAGAGCTCAGCTCCTGTTTTAGGCACCCAAGTACCTGCTTTTTGAACCGCTCGGCAAGCGGGGGGGCAGGACTCTTCTGAAAACCTGGCCCCAATTTTAGGTGCTGGCCCTTGAGCTCTTTGGAAATCTGGCCTGTTCCCCACAATGACCCCATGTGCAAAATGGGTGCAAGATGCTATGGCTCTGATCTGATTTTACACCTCTCTGCACGGGGTATAACCGACAACACAGGGGAGGGGAGAACTGGTTGACGCTGATGGACTCATCTCGCTGATGAGGTCAGGACTCACTTCCCGTCCCCTTATCTCTCTGGTCCTGAGCTCGGGTGGTGACATATATCAGGTCTGTGGCTCCCCCTCGCCCCTCCTGCCGCTGAGTCCCCCTGGGGCGTTTGTTTGATTAACTCACAGTCACATGCCCCCATGGCCAGTTCGATGGATCTCTCTTACCAATAAACCTTCATCCTTGCTCTCAGCCGAGCTTCACATTTATTTTCCTTTTCTGTTGGCTGCTGAGATGAGTAAGGGGCACTTTGATTTTTCTACTTCACCTTCTCAGGGCCTCCTGGGCTGGGATAAGGCCGTGTCACTGGATCAATTTAATCCCAGCGTAGACAAATGTCAGGATCTGGCTTGGAGGAGCTGCTGGAATCGATAGTGCCCTGGCCGGAACTTCAGTCAGAAGTTTCTCTCTCACTCCCCTCTGTTAATGCACCGTATCTGGCCAACGCCCCTTCCTGTAGCGCGAGGGATGTGGCCTACTGCTTCCTGTTACACCTGCACACACTTTATCCCTCTGAACTGTACCGAAGATGTTCAGCGTAGACAGGTGCCTTGGAAGGCAAAGTTTAAACCATTTGAGCATGGTGTTGGGAAAAGACCTTGCTCTTCCCGAGCACCTCCTATCCCAGATCTCTCCGAGCTTTGCAGCCTGTGTGTGTGTTAAGAAATCAAGAGGTGATGTATTTAGAAAAGATACACAATAAATAATCCTCTAAAGAACATATAATTAACCTATGGAACTCCCGGCTGCTGGACACAATTGAGGCAAATGTCTCAATGTAAGGCAGAAGAGGATCACACTATTCTAAGAGTAGCAATGGTAACGAGTATAAGCATCATCAACCATAGGACTTCAGGCCCTAATGCTGATTGTTGTCCGGTCAGGAAGAAACATCCACCTCCCTATGGTATAATGCTGGGCAATTGTCCTCATGCACTATAGGACTGGTTTGCCTTCTACTCAAATCCTGCTGGAGAGTTTAGGAGGCAGAGTTCTAGGAAATCCCAGACACTTCCCTTCTGTCCACGCAGTTAAAAAAAGCTCTTAAACAAAGCTCGGTTGTGTTCCTAATATGCCCATGGACTGATTTACATGACTAGTTGCACAAGACTCCGTGATGAGAGGTGACAGAATATAACCCCAGCTGCAAACTAGAACAGTGAGGTGATCGCCAGAGCCCTGCGCGGATACAAAATGTGCATGTGCATCCGATCCGGGATCCGCAAACATGGTGCACGGCTATAAAGCGGATATCTGCAGATTTTCAGGCCTTTAGTGATCACTGCCAGCTTCTCTCCTGAAGGAGCGCCTTCCTATGCTGCTAGCTTCTCCACTCATGCCAATGGGGAGAGACTGGTGTCGCCTGTTACCGTGGACTCTGCATTGTAGCTTTGTGGGTTACTAACTGTGAATGAGCTGCACCACCCTGTGCTGTGAACCTATCAAGCACCTAGAGGTATGAGGAAGGGAGATAGTCCAGTGGTTACGGCATTAGCTTAGAATCTGGAGCACCTGGGTTTAAGTCCTTGTTGTACTATAGATATCTGTGACCTGGGCCTCAGTTTTCTCCTCTGTAAAATGGGGATAATGACTCTTCCCTGCCTCACAGGGCAGCCATTTCGGATTGTGAGGCTGCCTGATGTTCTCGAGATAGGGGCCATAAGTCCCTGTGGTAGATGCTTCGAGAAGTGCTGCTGGTGTATCAGTAGGCAGCATGCTTCCTCCTAGAGTGAACAGAGCCTTTTGGTGCTAGGGGGAGCCGGGCTGATTGCTGGTGATTGGGTGGGATGTTCAGTATCACTCCCAGCTGGCCTCATTTTGTACCACGTGTTTTACTCTTGACCCCAGTAGGAGTAGCAATTGGCCAGTCCTGAGCGCTTTTGAAATTCCCACCCTTGGGTCGTGGGTGTTACGTCTACACTGCAGCTAGGAGTGAGCCTCCCAACCCGGGTAGCTAGACTCGCGCTAGTCGGGCTTCAGCTTGCACGCCCCTAGGAAGTGTGGAGGGTTTAGGCCCAGTGCCCTGGCCGCATGACAACATGCATAACAGTTACTTTCTGTCTCCCTGCATCCCTAAAGTTTCAGGTGACTGTAATGGTCACCAGGAGAGCTGGCTGAAAAAAATTTCAGCTGGACAGAAAAATGCAGTTTCATCAGAATCAAAACATTTCTCAGGGATGTGTCGATTTCAGCTTCGACGGGAGACGGTAATAAAGAGCCGTTTTGGCTTTCTCATTTCATTTTGATAATGCCAAAACGTTTTCTTTTGATGAGGTCAAAATGTTCCGGCTCCACTTTCTTGTTTCATTTCATTTCATTTTGACTTGGTATTATATTAAAATATTAATGTTGTTATAATATACGTGTGTGTTTTATATTCTACGATAACATTCCAGCATTGTTGAAATGAAATATTTTTTATCTTATTGAATTGAAATATTTCATTGTTTCCAATTTTTTTATTTTTTTTTGGAATGTCCATTCCATGGTACATTTTTTTAAATTTCAACTTCCCATTCAGAATGAAAACAAATTTAGAGATATCATCAGAATTTCCCACGGAAATTCCATTTTCCAACCATCTCTAGTTACTACCTTCTGTTACAAGCTGCTGTGTACAGAGGGGTTGCAACCAGTGACACCAGATCTGAGCAGAACCTCAGTTCTGATGGAGTTCGGAGCTGGATTTCCATTCTAGGACTTGCACTCATTTCTAGTCATGTAGTGCGCTCTTAGAAAGCTGCAGACGTGGGTGCAAGTCAGTGGTGCATGTTGTGGCTGCTGTATAAGAAATGTGTTTGATCTGTAAAGCAGAGGAGAATCCTAAAGGATTACTGATGTCATGTGAGCGTAAGATCTCAGTTATGTTACCATAACGTTTCCTTTTCCCTCTCCCTTCCCAGTCTTCCGGAGGTTCGGATCTCAGACAACGGCCCGTACGAGTGTCATGTGGGCATTTACGACAGAGCTACCCGGGAGAAGGTGGTCCTGGCATCTGGCAACATATTCCTCAACGTGATGTGTAAGTGCAGCGCCTCTTCCCTGGCTGCGGGTGGCAGGGATGGGAGCTATGGGTGGTGGTGGGAAAGAAATGAGTCCTGCTCTGAAATCTCTGCACAAACCGGACCGAAAGCCAGCAGCTGGATTGCTCTGCTGTAACCCCTTGGCCAGGATGCAGGGATCATTAACCTGCTCCCAGCATGCAGTGTGCATCCCAAGCATGAACATGGCCAAAACAAGGGAAAGAATACAGTGCTTTGTTGGGGACATAACGGAAATGGAGCATTAAACTGCACAAGAAACTACAGTGGAGGGTGACTCGCCCCACAGATGTCCATTCCCCGCCAGTTGTACTTCCTGAGAGAAAGCAAAGTCCTATGTTAATGCCATCAGAGCACCAGATATGCAGAGAGAACATCTGCTCTGCAGCGCCAACACATCCCCAGATGGTTTGAAGCCCATGTCTCCCAAAAGGTAGCCTGGTGCAATGTAGCTTCATGTCAGTCACTGAGTACAGCGCAAAGGAGAAAGGAGTTGGGTTGGAGATGGTTGAAGTGGCCAGGTATGTCCTGCCTGATGGATGTGGTCTCTCTGGATATGTTATTTTAAGGGAGCGTGGAAAAAGTCCCACTCTTTTCAGGGGCAGTCAGAAGGAGACTGGTATTTACTAAGCTACTCGGCAGTGCTCAGCGCACCATGGAGAAATAGGGAGCTGATGAATGGGCATCAGCTAGGGCTGGAGTTTGCGGTTCCCGGGACTTCCTCCACAATGGCAGTAATTGCTGCTCCGAGCAGAGAGGGGACAGCCAGCGCAAGGCAGCTCCTCTCCAGCATGTCATGAGGAAGGGCACCAGGCAGAAGGGGAAAGTTCGCAGAGGGATTTTTATGGGGGGAATTGCTGCACACCCCAGACACCCGCACTTCATCTAACGGCAGGATTTTGCTAAAGCAATCTATTCCATGCCTGCAGCCTTTCCGCCGCGGCAGGAGAAGCTGCTGGGAGCCTGGTAGATCCCAGGAGCTAAGCAGGGTCAGGCGAGGTCACTGCTTTAGATGACAGGCCCTCGGAGGAACAACGAAGTGATGGTGTTGATTTAGAAGGCGGCACTCTTCCCTCTGAGTGAGGGCAGAACTAATGCCCTTGTATGGCATTAGGGGGCTGTCGCAGAGGAGCTGCCTGTTGACCAGCGTGTAAATCCTGACCAGCTGTGGGTATCAGCGCTTCCGTGGCAACACTTGTGTCTTAGAGTCGGTGTTGAGTAATTTCCTGCCGCCAGCCTCACCCCCCTGCCATCTGAGGGATGTAGCCTCTTCCCTCCCTGTCTGTAGTGTGTCTGCCAGTCACATGGCATCATTATTTGTATTACAGTCACCCCCAAAGGCCCCAACTAAAATCAGGGCCCCTTGTGCCAGGTGCTGTACAGACACCTAGTGAGAGACAGTCCCTACCCTGGAGAACTTACAATCTAAATACAGGGAAAGGAAGGGGAGGAGAAACTGAGGCAAAGTGACTTGCCTAGGGTGGCTTGCCGAGGCTAAGCCTAATTGCAGTCGCTGGACCAAGAGGGGTCCCACCCGGCAGGTAGGTGAAGCCAGTCCTGCCTCGCCCGGCCCTGTGGAGAGAAGGGTGTACAGTAGAACCTCAGAGTTACAAACTGACTGGTCAACCACACACCTCATTTGGACCGGGACGTACGCAATCAGGCAGCAGCAGAGACCAAAAAAAAAAAAGCAGATACAGTACAGTGCTGCGTTAAATGTAAACTACTAAACAAAAATAAAGGGGAAATTAAAAAAAAAAGATTTGACAAGGTAAGGAAACCGTTTCTGTGCTTGTTTCATTTGAATTAAGATGGTTAAAAGCTGCGTTTTTCTTCTGCCTAGTAAAGTTTTAAAGCTTTATTAAGTCAGTGTTCAGTTGTAAACTTTTGAAAGAACCACCATGACGTTTTGTTCAGCGTTCCAAACCCCCTCCATTCCCGAGGTGTTCCTAACGCTGAGGTTCTACTGTAGTTCCTACTGATGGGTGGTGATCTGGGAACATGTGCTTGGGATGCTGACCACAGTTCTCTGGTCAAAAAGAACAGGAGTACTTGTGACACCTTAGAGACTAACAAATTTATTACAGCATAAGCTTTCATGGGCTACAGCCCACTTCTTCGGATGCATATAGAATGGAACATATATTGAGGAGATATATATACACACATACAGAGAGCATGAACAGGTGGGAGTTGTCTTACCAACTCCGAGAAGCCAATTAAGTAAGAGGGGAAAAAAAAAAAACTTTTGAAGTGATAATCAAGATAGCCCAGTACAGACACAGTACAGTGTAGTCCACGAAAGCTTATGCTCTAATAAATTTGTTAGTCTCTAAGGTGCCACAAGTACTCCTGTTCTTTTTCCAGTACAGACAGTTTGATAAGAAGTGTGAGAATACTTACATTTTCGCTGGTCGTTATCACATCCTGCATGTCTGGGCTACAGCAGGCACAGGGGAGGGATAGCTCAGGGGTTTGAGCATTGGCCTGCTAAACCCAGCGTTGTGAGTTCAGTCCTTGAGGGGGCCACTTAGGGATCTGGGGGCAAAATCAGTACTTGGTCCTGCTAGTGAAGGCAGGGGGCTGGACTCGATGACCTTTCGGGGTCCTTTCCAGTTCTATGGCATAGGTATATCTCCATATATTATTATAAAAGATCAGTCCACTTGTCTCCTGCCTGGAAGGTGCTAGCTAATGGAGCTGGGGCCAAAGAGAAAACAGGTTCCCTCCCGGATCCCAGACTGAATTTCTGTGCCTGCCTGGAATGGGTGTGGGCTATGGACATGCAGAAGTCTGTTTGCTTGGCAACATTTTGGGATGGTTCCGTTTATAGATATCAGTAAGCACAGCTTTACCCATGGTGCTTTGTGGTCTGTAGTGACCTGCATATGTGTTGCCCGAAGCTTCTTGTATCCTAACTAAGGTCTCGGGCAATTGAAGTACCTGTACATGTCTCAGATCAAACAGTAATGACCAGTGGGGAAAGACATTTCTTGGCCATTAATGAGCAACTGTAGGAATTTGACCAGAGATCGTTATGATGGAATGATAGAAAAAGAGAAAATAATTCCCTGATGTGTTAAGAAATTATTAGTCCAACAGCTTGTTGCTATGGAGACGACCGTCTGTTCCACGCGCAGCAGTGGCTGTTCTTCGCCGTTACAGACTGGCACGGTCGGGATCAGCAGAGATCGCCCCCCGACGCGCCATGTTCAGAACCGGATCGGCAGACCCAGGTTGGCTTTTTGCCTCACCCTGGGAGAGCGGGGGATGCGCCTTAGAAAGCTGGGATCTGAGTCTGAACTTTCGCAAAGCTGCGGGCTGCTGGGGTCTGTCCGGGATAGAGGTCGTGGCCGCTTGCAAAGCTGTGGTGCGGCCCAGCTGGGAGTCCACAGTGGACAAGGAGCTGCCTTCACAGTCTCTGGATTCAGGGCCTGGCTTGCTTGGCTGGGCAGGTGCATGTTCGCTCTTCCAAGGGTTAAGGACACAGTATTGCAGCAGCAATGGGGAAGGCAGATTATCCTGGGGTGGGGTGGGGGTGGGGACCCCTCACATAACATCCTCTAGTGTCCAGAGCAGGGACTCGCCCAGCAGTGCTATCCCTGGCTCTGCCACTGACTGCTTTGTGTGCCCCAAGGTGAGTCACTTAACCTCCCTGTGGCTCGTGTGATTCTGGCATGAAAAGGGCTATAGAAATGCAAAGCCATCGAGCTTGGAGCAGGGGCTTATTTTGCCCCGTTCCACCCGCCTGCTCCAAATGTGCACTTCCCCCTCCTCTATTGAGCTGGGCCAGGAACCACCTTTCCTGTCCTGACTGGGGTTCCTTCTCTTGGCTGTCAGCCCTCAGAAGGGTCCGAGATGCCTCCGCAGAGGGCTTTGGGGAAGGCAGGCAGCGGCCCTGCGAGGAAGGGAAGCAGCACTGAGACGGGTTAGCTGTAGCGGAGCGTAACAAAACCGCTCGTCACCACAGGCTCTTTGCTTTTCAAAGGGCCTAATGCTCGGCTGGTATCGACTGGCTTCCCCTTGACCGCATCCTTCCTGCTAGGACAGCTTGTTCAGATAAAGAGCCCATTTAAACAATGAAAGCTCGGGCTGTCCTTCATACCAGCAACAATGCAGCCCGAGAGCCAGAGTCACCGGAGGTATTTTCGCCTTCCTCTGAAGCATCAAGTGTTGGAGGCAGGACGCGGGGGCCTAGGTGGGCCGGTGTTCTGATGCAGTATGGCAACTCCGGTGCACCCAAGGGCCAAATTCAGCCTGAGCACAAGAGGGCACCTCCGTGCGAGTGGTGTCAACGTATGCAAAGGCTGGAATCTGCTCCTGTAGTATTGAGGATCATGCCCGTGAACAGGGCCGGCTCCAGGGTTTTGGCCGCACCAAGCAGCCAAAAAAAAAAAAGCCGCAATCGCAATTGCGATCTGCGGTGGCAATTCGGCGGGAGGTCCTTTGCTCCCAGCGGGAGTGAGGGACCGTCCGCCGAATTGCCGCCGAATAGCTGGATGTGCCGCCCCTCTCCGGAGCGGCCGCCCCAAGCACCTACTTGCCAGGCTGGTGCCTGGAGCCAGCCCTACCCGTGAATGCGGGACTCCTCACTGCTGCGTCATCCTAAACCCAAGCTCTAGCACCTGGCATAACGATGCAGTGATGTCTGCTGATTCATGCTCGCAGGTGCCACTACTCTATAACAGGGATTGGGCGTGCCACTGGGGGGTATCGGGAACAGCCAAGCTGGGGGGAGAAGTTGTCGGAA